AAGATGTTTAATGAAAAGTCTCTCTTTGGTCCTCAGGGCCTCCTTTACTTTCTGTCCTCAGAAGTGACCAGGATTACTGGATTCTTTTTTTTTTTAAAGATTTTATTTATTTGACAGAGAGAGACACAGCGAGAGAGGGAACACAAGCGGGAGGAGGGGGAGAGGGAGAAGCAGACTCCCCGCGGAGCAGAGAGCCCGACGCAGGGCTCGATCCCAGGACCCCGGGATCATGACCTGAGCCGAAGGCAGACGCTTAACGACTGAGCCACCCAGGCACCCCAGATTACTGAATTCTTAAAGCAGTTTTTACCTTGATCTTGATAGTATACTGCATCTAGTTAGGAAATGAATTTTTTTTTTAAGATTTTATTTATTTGAGAGATAGAGAATGAGAGAGCATGGGGGGGGGGAGGTCAGAGGGAGAAGCAGACTCCCCGCCGAGCAGGGAGCCCGATGCGGGACTCGATCCTGGGACTCCAGGATCGTGACCCGAGCCGAAGGCAGTCGCCTAACCAACTGAGCCACCCAGGTGCCCAGGAAATGAATTTTTTTAAAGATTTATTTATTTTTAGGGCGCCTGGGTGGCTCAGTTGGTTAGGCGACTGCCTTCGGCTCGGGTCACGATCCTGGAGTCCCAGGATCGAGTCCCGCATCGGGCTCCCTGCTCGGCGGGGAGTCTGCTTCTCCCTCTGACCTCCCCCCCCCCATGCTCTCTCATTCTCTATCTCTCAAATAAATAAAATCTTAAAAAAAAAATTCATTTCCTAACTAGATGCAGTATACTATCAAGATCAAGGTAAAAACTGCTTTAAGAATTCAGTAATCTGGGGTGCCTGGGTGGCTCAGTCGTTAAGCGTCTGCCTTCGGCTCAGGTCATGATCCCGGGGTCCTGGGATCGAGCCCTGCGTCGGGCTCTCTGCTCCGCGGGGAGTCTGCTTCTCCCTCTCCCCCTCCTCCCGCTTGTGTTCCCTCTCTCGCTGTGTCTCTCTCTGTCAAATAAATAAAATCTTTAAAAAAAAAAAAAAAGAATCCAGTAATCCTGGTCACTTCTGAGGACAGAAAGTAAAGGAGGCCCTGAGGACCAAAGAGAGACTTTTCATTAAACATCTTTCTGTACTGTTTGACCATTCTGACTACCTCACACAAACACAGAAATTTTAAACGTTGCTATGTGCACTGAGTATACCACACTCTTATTCTGAAAAGTAGATGGGCTTGTGGAACTACAGAAAGCCAACTTATAGACAGCATACAGATATAAATCACAAATCTGGTCATTATGATTCAGAATAATGAGATTAGAGGACTCTTTAGGAAATTAACATTTCCCAAGCGGACAGAGTTGGATTAAGAATGAAGCTGCTTTTAATCAGAGCTCCAAGGAGCTTCCTGTTTTGCAATGGTTTCTGACTCAAGTTGGAGAGAGCATTTCCTTTTATATACGTGCTGATGGCCCTGAAGTGGAAAATTTGTCACATTTACCTCTATCTGCCCCCCTAAGGAGCTACTCTGCCATTTCCCATGCCTGTGGCCTGCTGAGCATGGGGGCTACTGTGAGATACTCCCAAAACCAAGACGTAAGGATGCTCTCAGAGAGGTAGCTAGCAAACCAACAATTAACGAATCATAGCAAAGACATGAAAAAAAATCACGTTAGAGAGACTGAATAGCTCTTAGGTCCAGGCAAGACAGCACTCTGAAAAGGGAGCCAGCTGGTCAGCTCTGAAGAAAGGACAAACAAAGGTGTGTGAGCAAACTTCTGGCAGGGAGAAAAGAAGGGGATTTGGCCCCATAGACAATGAGTACTTCTGTCCCACTGGCAAAGCTATGCCTACCTTCAGTGAGACCTCTAGCTACTCTAAGCCAAGTACATTTGCACAACTAATTTCTGATTCCTTCACAAGAAACCTACTTATCATTTGGCTTTCTATATAGTTGCTGCCTACCGGGATGGAACACACCAGTTATGCCAACAGAAAGCTTTCTAGAATCCAGTAATAGTCTTTCTAGAATCCAGTAATAGTCTAGAAGACCAGCCCCAGGATCATGATAACGGTGGCACAAAAGTTTCAAGTGCAAGTTTCACCAATGTTACAATTTTACTAAGCTCAAGTCCTATATACCCCTGAAGGAGCTACCCTGACCCAAGGATCCTTGATAATTCTTGTTTGGAAGCAGCCTCTGTTCTTTGAAGATACCAGACAGAACATGTACGGTTAAATGCCATAAATTAGAATCAGCATGGGAAAAACCCCAGTTCTCTTATTATATTAGATACTGTTCCAGTGAGAGGGCTGAGGAATTTTATTACACAAAGATTTTTATTATAATCAAATTTTTTAAATTAAAAAAATACTTTAGTACTTCATCTGAACCTTGTCCTTGGGGCATATAAATAATAACTGAGAGCGGCGCCTGGGTGGCTCAGTCGTTGGGCGTCTGCCTTCGGCTCAGGTCATGATCCCAGGCTCCTGGGATCAAGCCCTACATCGGGCTCCCTGCTCTGCGGGACGGCTGCTTCTCCCTCTCCCGCTCCCTCTGCTTGTGTTCCCCTTCTCGCTGTGTCTCTCTCTGTCAAATAATAAAATCTTGTAAAAAATAATAACAACTGAGAAAAGAGATAGTAGGGGAAAAACAAAATCATTTTTAAAAATCTCTTTCAGGGGCGCCTGGGTGGCTCAGTCGGTGAAGCGTCTGCCTTCGGCTCAGGTCATGATCTCAGGGTCCTGGGATCAAGCCCCACATCAGACTCCCTGCTCGTAGGGAGCCTGCTTCTCCCTCTCCCTCTGCCCCTCCCCCTGCTTGTGCTCTCTCTCTCTCAAATAAATAAAATCTTTAAAAAAATATCTTTCAAAGTTTAAGGTAAACAATATTAAATTGGCATGAAAAAAAGGAGAAACCCCAGTTGTCAATGATCACCAGGTCCAGCACATCTCTATCAGACAAGGAACTAAATCCCTCCCAACAGATCTGGATGAGATACAGCTGATGGCTCCCACGTGACTTTCGGCTGTGGTGACTCATTCCCCTGGTAGCTGCTGTATGACACTCTGCTCCACCCCTCGGGGAATCTGGGCTTCTTTGAAAATTTATCAAAAACCAAGGCCAGAGTCCTGAACTGGTCCCTCCCCCCTCAGGACCAATGTTCATTTGGCTGGATCACACCTTTCCAATTCCAGATTCCTTTCTCAGTAGAAAAAGAGAGTCGGATTCAGCTCCTGCCTCCCTGGATGCCTGGATGGAACAATAGCTTTTTAATTTATTCACCTAGTAAGACTTGCTATCTCTGGGTGATGAAAGAGATCTAATCTGATGCCAAAGCACATAAATCAACATTCTTTTTAAGAACAACAAGTCAAAAACAAAAACAAAAACAAAACTTGATGCCACATCCTCCTTCTACTTGCCAGATTGGGAAACTAGTAGATAATGCTAAAACAATGGTGGAGGGCAGCCACTTGAAACTGACCTTGTGTTTTTATTTTTGTTTTCTTTTTAAAGATTTTATTTATTTATTTGACAGAGAGAGAGAGAGCACAAGTAGGCAGAGTGGCAGGCAGAAGGAGAGGGAGAAGCAGTCCCCCTGCTGAGCAGGGTGCCCGACTTGGGGCTCGATCCCAGGGCCTGGGATCATGACCTGAGCCAAAGGCAGCTGCTTACTGACTGACCCACCCAGGCGCCCCTGACCTTGTATTTTTTAAAAAATCAACTATGAATCCCTATCTCTCGTGTTAATGGTCCTCCAATTTGAAGATTGAAAATGACCTCAAGGGTTTATCTCATTTAGCAACTTAGGATCTTTAGAGGGTCGCATGAGCCCCCCTAACACGTACAAACTATCTGAAAGCCGCTCCTTCAATATGCTTCAAAGCACATATATGCCCTAGTTTTGTCTGATGATGGCAATGCTTTGTCTAAAGGATGGAAAGGGGAAAAGGAAATCACTCCTGCCCTTAACGGTCAGCCTCAGGATTATAAACTTCAAAAGGTTAGCCAGGAAATCTCCCATCACTGATTACAAGGGATAATCCGTGTTTATCACAACTGCAGCACGGACAGCCATGAACACTGTCAAATGGCTGGAATATAAAGGAGCAGGCCTTAGGCAGAGGTCTCCCTTCGTGGTCTCCATCTGGTCTCCTCCGGGGCAAAATGGAGGGTAATATTAGGTTGAACCATATGACCTAAAGAAGCAACAATTTCACGTGATTCAACTTAATAATAATAAAAGCTGACAATTATTGAACGTTAATGTGGTGCCAGGTGCATTACAAACATCATCTCTTTGAATATGCGCACCATTCACACAAAGTAGGTCCTACCCCAGCATTTTACAAACAAGGAATTGGAAGCTCAGAGAGGTTAAGTGACTTGCTCAGGGTCACACACCTCCGAAAGGCAAAGAGGCAAATGTTCAAACCCAATTCTGTCTAATTCCACTGCCTCCTAAAGCTACTTTCAAGTCTAAATGTCTGTATCTACACTGTGGAATGAGCCCCACTTCTAGGCTAGACTACCACCATGTCTACCTGATCGATCCTCGGGTGTGCTTGGCTGGCTAATGAATGTGGACCTGTTAGGAAAAAAAAGGTGACCTCTCCTCAGTTTCAATGAGATACTTAGGCGAAGGACTTAAAGGTCTTTCCCAGAATTTCTCAAGGCTCAACTAGGAAAGTGGCCACCAGGATCCAAATGCCTATGGCCCCTCCTTAGGAACAAGAGGAAGCCAACAGTGTGAAAAGGGGAACTCAACTCCTGAAAGTATTACAGGCTTCTTTTTGCGTCCACAGCATCTCTTTGTTTGTTTGCTTTTATTTAATTGAAGTATAGTTGACCTACAACGTGATATTAGTTGCCGGTACACAACATAGTGATTTGACATTTATATACCTTACCCGGTAATCCCCTGATAAGTCTAGTTACCAACTGCCACCATACAAAGTTATTACAATATTATTGGCTATATTCTCTACGCTGTTCTTTTCATCTCCATGACTTATTTATTTTATAATTGAAAGTCTGAATGACTTAATTCCCTTCACCTACTTCACCCATCCTCCATCCCCTGCAACCATCAGTTTGTTCTCTGTATCTATGAAACTGTTTCAGTTTGGTTTTGTTTGTTGCTTTTGTTTTTTAGATTCCACATGAGTGAAATCATATGGTATTTGTCTTTGGTTCCATCCATGTTGTCACAAATGGCCACATTTCATTCTTTTTTATGGCTGAGTAATATTATATACATATGTGTACATATATATATACATATATATATACCACATCTTTTTTATCCATTCATCTATCCATTTATCAGTAGACACTTAGGTTGTTGCTTCTATCCCTTGGCTATTGGAAATTGACCACTGTAAATAATGCTGCAATAAACACAGGCGTGCGTGTATCTTTTCAAATGAGTGTTTTCATTTTCTTCAGGTAAATACCCAGAAGTGGAATTGCTAGATCATAGGGCAGTTCTATTTTTAATTTTTTGAAGAACCTCCATATTGTTTTCCATAGCGACTGTACCATTTTACATTCCCACCAACAGTGCAAGAGGGTTCTCTTGTCTCCACATCCTCGCCCAACACTTGATATTTCTTGTCCTTTTTTTTTTTTTTTAAGATTTTGTTAAGTAATCTCTATAGCCAATGTGGGGCTCAAACTTACAACCCCGAGATCAAGAGTTGCATGCTCCACTGAGTGAGCCAGGTGCCCCAATATTTCTTGTCTTTTTGATACTAGTCATCCGGACAGGTATGAGGTGATTTATCTAATTGTGGTTTTGATTTGTATTTCCCCGACGATGAGTGATGTTGAACATCTTTTCACATGTCTGTTGGCCATCTGTATGTCTTCTTTGGAAAAATGTCTATTCAGGTTTAGAGAACCTCCTTTAAAATGCAAATACTTCTGGGGTGCCTGGGTGGCTCAGTCGGTTAAACTGCCAACTCTTGATTTTGGCTCAGGTCATGATCTCGGGGTCCTGGGATTGAGGCCCCTGTCGGGCTCCATGCTCAGTGGGGAGTCGGCTTGAGATTCTCTCTCCCTCTCCCTCTGCCCCTCCCCACTGCACTCTCTCTCTCTAAAATAAACAAATAAATCTTTACAAAAGTTAAAAATAAATAAAATGCAAACACTTCTGAGTAGCCTCAATTCTTCATCAGTGAACACCTGAGCCATAATTAATACCTCAGCAGAAAAGGGGCAAGAAAGGCAGATTAGCAAGTTTCCCTCAAGAGGAAGAAGCTTTTCCATCCTCACTTTATTAAGCTTTCACATACATTATTTGTCATGTCCCAGCAAGCCAGGGAAGTGAGTAAAGCCGTACTTTACACAGCAGGAAACTAAGGCTCAGAGAGGTTAGGTAACTTGCCCAGGCCACAGAGATAGCTGAGTGGTCCGCCAACTAGAACCCAGTTCTCCTGACTTTCCCTGCCACCGAGCTGCATAAACCTGATGATCTCGAAATTCACTGAGCTAAAGCCCTGTCACTGATAACAACTTCTCACTCGGCCTCCTCACAATCCTGGACAAATTCAACCCCAAATGTCCCTGACCTCCCCCCTCACTGAAAGAAGGTATAAAGATATAAAACAGTTTTGGACAGATGATCTGATGCTTTGAAGAACCTGTCAATTAGAAGGGACTTCAAACCAATCAGGCCTGAGTGAAAATTCCGTGGAATAAGACTATCATAAAGAATCTGAAATGATCCAATCCTGTTAACAAAAATTCACTTATGCCAGTTGACCACATCTGACTGGGAAGGCTGAATGTTCCCCCTCATTTCTCCTCAGGCATCGGGAAACCTAGTCAAGCCTATCTGCCACAGACATCTTATTTTTTCACTTGCCACGTGGCCATTTACTCTTGCGTTGCATGGTTCCTGCATATCTGTGTGCATGTTGTTAGCAAGACGCTGAGCAGGAAAGCTCCCTGAGAAACTGGAAGTGAGGTCTACATACGAGGCTACAGGCAGGAACACGGGAACACATTTTAACATAATTATTTGTTGAGTGCCTAGTAGATAAAAGATATCTCGTATTTCCTAACAGAGCAATCTCACTGCCTTCGATTATCAGATAATGAGCAAATATTTTCAAATGTTCAAATGCTCATTTTTTTTTTAACAGTCTTTTCAGCCATCTTCCCAGGTAAAATTGGGACACGACCCAAAACAAAATTCCCACTTTGAAGTAAGATTAGAATTCCGTTTATTCTTGGCTCCAATTCATAGTGTTCACTTTACCTCATCAATGCAATACGTTCCAGAACACTTACCTTATCCTGCTTGTTGTCAAAATGACTAAAATACCGTAAGGTGCAATTCGGGCTGGCTCCCTCAGGAGGATCCCATGTCCAGATGACCGTGCAGAGGTTTTCAACAGAAACACTCAAATTTGTCACAGGTGGCTGAGTTTCTGCTCAAATCAAGCACAAGAAATAAATTTATCAACATCAGCCAGTGCTTTTAGTGGGCGACGTAAGCCACTCCTCCCAGTCCTAGAGGCCAAGAATAATAAAACTGAGTTAAGGACAGCTAACATTTATTGAGCCAGGCACTGTTCTAAGTACTCTCCCCACTAATCCATTGGCTCCTCACAACCATCTTGTGAGACAGGGACTATCAGCCTCATCTTAAAGATGAAATGACATAGGTCAAGAACAATGAGTCACTTGCCCCATGTCCCATAGCTCATAAACGCCAGAGCCAGGATACAAACCCAGAAAGTGTGCCTCCAAGGCCACATTCTTAATTACTTGCTATAGTGTGGACCCAGAGAAGAGTACAGTCTTAAATTTCCATTTCCCTCCTGCAGGAATTTGGGGTTCCCCATGCTTGGGATCTACACCTCACTCGACAGAGCCACTTCAATCTCAGCAGTTCTGTGCGTGAGTTTAAGCAGCATATCTTTTCATCATGCTTGCTAACGTGACCTGGTAACTGTTTCTATAACTTTTCCAAAGAAGTCCTGAGAGAGATTTACGAGTCCTTGTTGTTCCCCTGAGGTCTGACAATAAACAGCTGGGACTGTAGCCTTGACTAATCTGAAGAGGGAAAAGAGGAGAAACTGAACCAGTGTCTCAAAAATGTGTTTCATTTGAAGAAAACCCACCACTGCTTCTTTTTTTTTTTTTTTTAAAGATTTTTATTTATTTATTTGAGAGAGAGAGAAAGCACATGAGGGGGGGAGGGTCAGAGGGAGAAGCAGCTCCCTGCCGAGCAGGGAGCCCGATGCGGGACTCGATCCAGGGACTCCAGGATCATGACCTGAGCCGAAGGCAGTGGCCTAACCAACTGAGCCACCCAGGCGCCCCCCACCACTGCTTCTACCAAATACTTAGTGACTCTACTATTTTGGACCAAGTTCTATCACCAGGGAAAGGAGTTTTAACGCTTCTGCCCAACGCAGGGAAATACAGAGAGCGGGGGTTGGGGGAACGAAACATCATCTCAAACTTTGCTGACAGCTCCTGTGACCAGGACTACCAAAACTGTCCCCCAGAAACTGGATGAGGAGTGTACAGGGACTCTCTGTCCTATCTTTGCAACTTTTCTGTAAATTGAAAATCACTCCAAAATAAAGTTTATTAACTAATTTTAAAAAAAATCCCTCCAAATGGTCCAACGTTGCAAACAATCATTAGTAATTACTTACGAGCCACAGTTGTCTTAATTTGTCAATCCGCAGAGTTGTATTTTTTACTCTATGCCAACACTCTGTAGTGCACTGGGCCTCTTAAATGATCTGTAAATACTTACACCATTACCTTCCTCTTTAACTGAACAAAAAATGCCTTTTGTCCCCAAACAGGAGCCCCACAGGCACTACATAGGTGACATTTCCCCAAACGTCAGTTTTAGTCATGCAGCCTGCAAAGGCCCTGGACTTTGGATATTCATTCCCTCTTTCCCAACTCTTCTACCATTAGTTAGTTTTTCCACAAGGCTGACCAAAGGCCCAACTGTGGGCAGAAGCAGCCCACAGCAGGACCAGCGGAAGCAGAAAATTCCTACTGCACTGCATCAAAACCCAGCTAGTGTCTGGAAGCCCCCACGGCTCGGGCAACAGTGCTAACGTAAAGATTCGAAGCGATGACCAGCCAGTACAGTTACTCCATTTTGGTCTTTCTAACATCACGTGGATGAAACTTGGGAAGACAAATCATTTGTCAGCTATGGAGCCTCTAATAAAACCTTTGTTCCGGGGCACCTGGGTGGCTCAGTGGGATGAACGTCGGACTCTTGGTTTTGGCTCAGGTCATGATCTCAGGGTCATGAGATCGAGCCCCGTGTCGGACTCCACGCTCAGCACAGAGTCTGCTTGAGATTCTCTCTCCCTCTCTCTCCGCCCCTCCCTCCCCCTGCTCTTTCTCTCTCTCAAATAAATAACTCTTTAAATAAATAAATAGTACATAAATAATTAAAAAATAAAAACTTTGTCCCTCCTAAAGACTATAATCTACTTTAGGCTTATCAGTCTTATTCTGTACTTTCCAGAAACAGAGTGCAGCAAACTTGCTGACGCTCTACCTTCCTACCCCCACACAAAAATGAAAGCTCTGATAATAAAAAAAAAAATTACCTATTTATGGTTCACATAAATCACACTCCAATCTTCAAGGCGACTTATAAAATCTACTTTTTAACCTCAGTATTTTGATAGAACAATAGCCTGCATTATTTCCAATCTCTCCAATGGGTTTATTTTTTCCCCCATCTGTTCTGAAGTGTCTTTTAGTCAAATCTTCTAATTGGTTTGCATTTTAGAGTACTTGCGGCTATCTGCCATCCTTTTTCTCCCCCCAATGGTTCCTTCCATTTCCCTTGAGATTTTTCTACTTCTTATACTTTAAAATACACGCACGTACGTGCACACACACATACACGCACTTGTCCAGAAACTTTAAATACAATCTCCAAACGTTTAGAAATGAATACGTGTGTATATGCATATAACACATTGAGCTATGTACATAAATAAGTGGTGGCTGTACTTTTTGTAAAGATCTCTGACAGCTCCTCATGTGTAAGACATAATATACTTTCAGTAGAGGTTAGGATTAAGAGCATGGACTCTGGAGCCAGACTGCCTGAGTTCCTGTCCCAGCTCTGCTACTTACTAGCTGGCAAGTTACTTAACCTCTCTATGCTCTAGTTTTCTTACATGTAACACAAGGATAAAAATAATAACCCATCAAAAAAGGGCCATTTTGAGGATGAACTGAGTTAATGCAGATAAAATGCTCAGACCAGTGCCTGGCCCAGAGCAAGTGCTATGGAAATGTTATCTACTTTCTTTTTGAAGAAACAAAACAGCTCTCAACAGTTGCTTTGGTTGGCTGTGGAACGTATACGTGCCCGCAGCCTGTGAGACAGAACAAGTTAGACCATTTCTTAGAGGTTGATCACTGCCTTCCAAAAGGGGAATGGGCAGGTGGGAGGGACTCCAGTGGGTGGCTCCCCCCAACTCAACTTCAGACCTCAAGTGAGTCTGTATGGTCATGAAGCACAGCGTCCCATTCTACTTAGGAACTGACACAGTCCGTGCTCTTTCTAATAAGGCATGCTGCTTAGGGATTCACTTTTGCTCTCTCCTATCCCATCCCAGGAGCTGGCAGAGGCATGCATATTCCGGGAAAAGTTAAGGAAATCACAACAGTCATATATGAGTCACCACCTCCTTCCCTTACATCTAGTCAGTCATCAATGTCTGTCCATTTCTTCTTGCAACATCTCTTTTAATCATCCCAATTACACCAACGTGCTCTGCTGGGCCCCTTGAGGCGGGCTGACACCAGTTAAGTCACGGCCCCGGACAGGAGACACTCACATCTGTCTAGGGGACATCTTCAACCCTGGAGCCCTGCATAGCTTTACATTCCAGCGATTCCTGTCACCCGGTCAAGTCTCCCTGCTTGCTTCTCCTCCGCTGTCATGCCCCTCACGCCGTACCCCACTCAGGGGCTTCGTGGGCAAACAAAACTCTTCCGCCTCGACCGACTTTGCCAACACACCCTCCTGCCAAGCCGGGCTGCTCACTGCCCACAAACGAGCACCCTCTGCCCCCACACTCCTGCATCTCTGCTCCTGCTATTCTCCCCCAACTCGGAAGAATTTCTCCACCCAAATTCCACCCATCCTGAAAGTCTAGCTCAAGTTTTTACCACTTCCACGCAACTGCCGGCCCTCACGGCTCTCCCTCCTCCAGAAGCCTACAGTGCTTACGGTTTGGACCACGCGCTGTGGCCATTATAAAGCGAGTCTCCAATATACAGTCTGTCACTTCTTAACAGATGACCTGGACATCTGTTCATGGGTCCCAACCAATCCTGCCATGCTGCTCTGGGAGGTGCCCAGCTCCTCTCCCAGCCAAGGACTCCCCTCCCTTCAACAGAGGGGGCACTGAATACAGTGGTCAAGGGCATGAACCCTGGAGTCTGGCCACAGGGACTGGAAGCCTCGCTCCACTCTACCGTAACCCATGAGACCTGGAGCAAGGCTTTTAACCTCACCGTGCCTCAGCTACCTCACATACAAGGTGGGACTCACAGCAGCACCTACAGGATAGGTTTTGTGTAAAGACGAAATGAAACAACATAAGTGAAAAAACTCACAACCCTGCGTGGCACAGAGTATATTAAACACTATAGAATGCTAGTTGTGGTTATTAAGACATGCCGCCACGTGGACCAGCAGCCTAAACAGACTAAACAAAGCTGGTAACCTAATCACTTTTATGAACACTGAGAAGCTTAGAGCTAGGAAGAGCCCTTAGAACTTACGGATCAGAAATTGCCACGTGAGCACGGGGAAATGACTAGCCCAGAGCCCCACAGCTGGGAAATGTGAGAAAACTTAAGTCCCCTGTTTCTTTTTTTTTTTTTTTCCCTTCACCATACCTCCTTGCAAGTCTACCAATTTTTTTTTTAAAGATTTTATTTATTTATTCGACAGACCAGGACCCCAGGATCATGACCTGAGCCGAAGGCAGCCGCTTTTAACCGACTGACTGAGCCACCCAGGCGCCCCTATCAATATTTTTTCTAATGGGAAAAAAGTTTCTGTATTCTAAGTAACCAAGTTACCAATGAAGCGCTGAGACAAAACTGATGAAGTGGGGGGTTGCCGGGCATTATCTAGAAGGCCAGCTGTTGTTTCAGTTGTGTGTGTGGGAGTCTGTAGGAGGGAATGTGTTGGAGCAGGACGGTGAAAATCAGGAGCCTAACGAGTGGGGTGACCCTCAACAAGTCCCTTCCCCTCTCTGCACTGAGCTTCCTCATATGGTTGTAAGAATCGGATCCCCCACCTGCACTGGAGGCACGTGGGGGGCGGCAAGGATTATGCTGTACACTCTAAGGCTCTCCGAGAACCCCCAGAGCCTGGCTCAGAGCTCAGCAACGCAGACGCTTGAATAATTATTAACTGGAAACTTCAAACCTGCCTCAGGCCTCCACTTTAAATGCCACCTTTTCAGTAAGGGCTTCCCACTTCACCCTATTTATAACGGCAAACCCCTTCCCGGCTTCGTTTTTCTCCATTGTACTTGGCGCCACCTGACATACCTGATATTTTACTCCCCGCCTCCCCCCCCCAACCCCGGGACTCTGCCAATAGCACGGAAGCTGTACAGGGCGGGGGCTTGGTCTGTTTCACTCACTCCCGCATCCTCAGCCCCTAGAACACCACCTGGCATAGAGCAGACTGCGTACGTTTTGTTGACTGAATCAATAGAGGGCATCAAGATTTCCCAATCAACACTTCAACTTGGGTTTCAAAGCCCAACACACTGGTGAAAATGCAATAAGCAAATTGTGGGTGTCTGTGTCAATATGGTAATAAAACCTCTCAAAGTTGGAGCCACTGTGGTCACCCGACGTGGCCAGAAGGCCACTCGAGCCGGGAGCTGTCCGTGAGGAAGTCATTCTACTTTTCCCGGTAGAACTCTGCCCGGCTGATTAATGAAAAAGTTGCCGCACAGGGTGAGGGGTATATTCGAACTCCCTGGAGTACCTTGGCAACTTTCCTGTAAACCGAAAATGATTTCCAAATCTAAGGGCTATTAAAGAAAAAAACAAAAAAAGGCCTCCACCCCGATGCTGCTCCGGGTTTCCCAAACGGATTTGTCGAACGCCAGAGGAGGCCGTGGCCCCCACGTCCTTTCTCTGCGAGGACCGGGGTCTTCAGGAGCTCCCTTCAACTCCATCCCCGCACTCGACCGGCGAGGTCCCCGGCAAGGAGCCCCGGGGCGATCCCGGCTCGCCCGGACCTCGGTCGCCAACCCCGCCGGTTCCTGGCCCCCTCATCCCCTCCCGGGCGACTTTCCGGGTCCCGACCCGCCGCCCTCGGACACCGCGGCCACTTTTCTCTCCCGCGCCTGGGCCCCGGGCTCCTCGGCTCTTCCCGACGACGCGAGGGAAGTGCGGCGGCGAGTCGTCGTCCCGCTCCGCCGCCGCCGCCGCCACGGCCGCCCGCGACCCGGGAACCCCACCTCGAACCGGCGCCGAAGGCTGCGGTCTCCGAGCGCCGGGCGTCGTGAGGCGGCCCCCCCCGCAACCAGCGCCCTCCCTCGGCGCAGCCCCCGGCCCCTGTCGGCCGCGACCCCAGCCGCCCCCTCGGCCGCCGCCCCCGGCCCGCAGCCAAACTCACCGGTAGGCGCGGCGCCCTCGCCGCCGCCGCCGCCGGCGCACAGCAGCAGCGCCCACAGCCCGCAGAGCCGCGCCGGCCGCTCCATGCAGCCCCTGTCCTCGGAGCCCGGCCGGGCTGCGGGGCTCTGCAGTCTCCGCCTCCTTCGCTCCCTCTCCCACTTCCCGGCTCCGCCGCCCAGGAGACTGGGGGCCGGCGCAGACCGGAAAGGCCGCCCCGCCCACCCGCCGCAGGTAACCCGAGCCGCGAGCTGCGGGCGCAGGGGGCGGGGCGCCGGGGTCCTCGCGCCTGCCACGCCTCCCGCACCTCCCGCACCTCTCGCCGCGCCACACCTGGCCCCGCCGCGGCCCCGCGGCCCCGCCGCCGCAGCCCCTGCCTCGGCCCCTCCGGAGCACCGGCTCGGCTCGGGCCAGACGAACTTCCTCGAGCACGTCGCGGCTCAGCCCAGGCGCCCGCCGGTCCCGCCCTCCGCGCGCCCGAGCTAGCCCCGGCCGGCGCCGCCTGTGCGCGCGGACCTGCGGGACCTGGGTCGCGCCGGGGCTGCCGCCGTCCACCCCCCCCCCGCCCCCGCCCCGGGGCCCCGGGTTAGGGCCACCGCCGTGAGGGAGCCTCGGCCTGGGAGTCCGGGGAGGCGGCTCCCAGTCGTCGGCCTCTAAGCCCCTGTTTCCTGAACTCTGACTCCAGCCTTCCTAATCCCAACCCCACCTCCCAGGATGGGCTCGGGCCCAAGACCCAAGAGGGGACTTAGCAGGGGCGTGTTTGGCGAAAAGGCCGGAAGGTGTACTGGAAAGCTGGTAATACAGAATGCTGAGTCGGGGGTGGTGGTGGGGAGCAAAATTTTAAATGGGAAGGACAGTGCCACACTATGTCCAGTACTTGCATTCTGAAAAGCACGCAACCAACTTTCTACGTATTTCTTTTTCACAGGTTTAGAGTCAGAAGGTGAGTCAGAAGGACACACAGAAAAGCGGGTGACTATGAAGGTCAATGAGGCTGGGGATGGAGGAGAATGGGAACCCCTGTTACTTTCCTATTGCTGCTATAACCAATTACCATAAATGTAGTGACTTGACACGGGTTTTTTTTTAGAGTTCAGGAGGTCAGAAGTCTCACTGGGCCAAAATCATGGCGTGAGCAGAACTGTGTTCCTTCTGGAGGTTCTGAGAGAGAAGCAGTGTTTAGCTTCTCCAGGCGGCCCAGGCCACTGCTCAGGTCACTTCTCTGATTCTGACCCTCCTGCCGCCTTTTTTGATTTAAAAAAAAAACCTTGGTAATTAGATTGGACCTACCAGATAATCCCCATCTCAAAATCCTTTATTGAATCACATCTACAGAATCACTTTTGCCATATAAAGTCACATATTCACAGTTGGCTGGGACTAGGGCATGGATATCTTTGGGTAGGGGCATTATTCTCTCACCACACCCCAAAAAAGGGTCAGATCTGGATGGATGATGAGACCCACTAACCCAGGTGTATTTTGGTTGAATTAAGCCAACGTGTACACCTGAAATCTGTTGCAAAAAATACAGCAGTAAAAATGCGATAACACACCTAGTCTCCAGGCATGGGGATGTTTAATCTACCTGAAACAAAGGCCTCACTCTGAGAATTATGGCCCTTGAGTTCCATAAATATTTACTGTCCTTCCGGGAACTGGGGTAGCCCCTAACTAAAAGCAGGCCCTGCCAACAAAGAGCTGCCACCGGTGTGGGGGGCTCTCATAAGGGCAAAAGCAAGGAACTGTGGGGCACAAAGAAGGGGCACCTTCTGGGAGAGAAGGAGCAAAGGAGGCTTCCAGGAGGCAGGCCTCCCTGCACAGAATCTCGAGATAAGTCTTGCGTTCAAGGTTCAGAATCACTCGTCTGCATGTATTACTGAACGACGTAATGTTTATGAAAACACTTGGTAAGCTATGGAAGCTGGTAGAACTGAGAGATATTACTATTCTGAATCCCCTTGCAAATAGGCCAGCCACTCTAACCTAAGACCTCCCCCCCGCCCGCTGACATCACCACACACATATACTTGTTGACATTTGCTATAAACATTATACAATAAGTTTATAATAACATTTCCAAAATGATTATGTCATCGGCCTTTTACGAAGTCTCCACTTGGAACAGGAGCCCCTGGGGACTGGCTTAGTGCCACCATGGGCACTGTCTGGCACAGATTGAGTGCCTAATGAATTGGCAGCAAATGATTAGAAAAATAAGGGTCACGACTGGTCATTAGCCTCCAGAAAAGGTCCCGAGAATTGTGAGAGTTGTGAGGCAAAAAACAAAGGGCAGTGGCATGACCATAATTTTACTGAGCTGCTGACGGTGAGCACAAGTATTCTAGGCAGGGCCGCCTGGGCGGCTCAGTCGTTAAGCGTCTGCCTTCGGCTCAGGTCATGATCCCAGGGTCCTGGGACGGAGCCCTGCATCGGGCTCCCTGCTCGGTGGGGAGCCTGCTTCTCCCACTCCCCCTGCTTTTGTTCTCTCTCTCGCTGTGTCTCTCTCTGTCAAATAAATAAATAGAATCTTTAAAAACAAAAAACAAGTGTTCCAGGCAGTCCCACTTCCTCTCTACCCTAAATTTTAAGCCACATTTAAAAAAAAAAAAAAAATGTTTAGGAATGCTCTCTCTTCAACATCAATCTTTTATTTGTAATTTCTGTGTACTTTTACTCAAAGAGCATCTTAGATTGAATTAGGCCACTGCTCTGGTCTGCAGGAGGATGAAGACGAAGGGATGGGTTCCCAGGCATTGCAATAAACAGCTCTTACTTGGGCTTTGTGTAATCCGAGTCACGATGAGTCCGCATCACGTTTAGCCTTAATTTGTAATTCATTGAGCCCCTGACGATTTGGGTGTGAGACTACCAATTGTCTTTCCTTTGGCTTTGGCCCTGAGGTGGCTGGAATTCTGGACTGCCCCAGGTACCTTGGCTGCTCCCGTTGGCTTTTTGGATCTTTACCCTTTTCGCTAAGGCTTCCTCCTTTTTTGTGAGTGGAGTTGGGAAAGGGCACAAACAAGAAAATAGTTGGGGAGAAAGAATGATGTTCCTCTTTCCAAAGTCAGGTCTCCTTCCAGCCAGTTAGAAACACCCTCCTGAATTCATCAAGGACGCAGACGTCAGCATATATACCAAGGGCTTAGCTAAGAATTCTGGCCCCTTAGGTAAAAATCTCACAAAGGGTCTTAGGCCTTTTATCAGGCCAAAACCGAACAGATACTCACCACCACTGCAGTGAAAAGAAAAAAAGGGAAACAGCAAATAGGGAATTTCCCTTCTTCTGGCACTAAAGCAATAGCTCCCCACGAGGGGTTGATTTGTCCTCTTCAGGAGACATTTAGCAACGTCTGGAGATATTTTTGGTGGTCCCCACTTGGAATGGGAGGGTGTGCTACTGGTATCTAGTGAGTAGAGGTCAGGGATGCTGCTCAACATCCCACTAAGCACAGGACAGCTCCCCCCCGCCCCCCCGCCAACCCCTACAAAGGATTATCCAGCTCAAAATGACCATAGTGCCAAAGTGGAGAAATCCTGAGCTAGTGTACTCTTTGTTATATTTGCACTTGGCCCGTATCCATCCATTGTCCTCATGCCCACCAAAAATCAGTGAGAGGTTGACGGTCAAAGTATTTAACCTTGACATGTTCCTTTCCTGTATCTGGCGTGTGTGGTTTCCCCGCCCAGCCATCCAGCCACGCAGGGCTTCTATCACAAAACATCTCTCATGTCAATTCTCCCCCTTCCTTGCCTCCACTGGTCTCAGGTCCTTATCGCCTTTCCCTTACAAGGGTCTGCCCTTCTCCCCGCCAGGTGACAAATCTTCCTGATGTGCAGGTCGGATCATTTCACTCCCAGCTCAAGCTTCTTAAAGGGACACCTCTTCCCCTCAAATGCCAAAAAAGGTAGTCTTGACGCCTTTGCCTGCGGGCTTGCTTCTTCATGACGGATTCCCCGAATTTTTCAGTCTCTTCACCAGCCAGGCTTCCCCAGTCCCTCTGCGGCCCAGCACTCTCAGCCAACCGGCCAGCTTTAGGCTCAAAGTCCTTTGCAGGCAGTTTTGTTTGGCCCACATCGTGTTTAAATATATTTGGATTTAGATACTAAACATGAAAAAAAAAATCAGGAGATTTTGCATGACACCCCGGATTTTCAGCTTCTCTTAAGAAATCAGAAGTTCTGGGGACACCTGGGTGGCGCCGTCAGTTAGGTGTCTGCCTCCAGCTCAGGTCATGATCCCAGGGCCCTGGGATCGAGTCCTGCATCGGGGTCCTTTCTCGGTAGGGAGCCTGCTTCTCCCTCTCCCTCTGCCTGCCGCTCCCCCTGCTTGTGCTCTCTTTCTCTCTGACAAATAAATAAATAAAATCTTTTTTTTTCAAAGAAATAAAGATACCAGAAATTGGGGTAGCGTTGGACCCGAGTTCCAGTGCACCCACGATCCGCGGGTGCTCATCAGGTGCTGCCACCTTATCAACAGGGCATGTGCTCCCAGTCGGCACAGGCCCCATGCTCCCTGGCCTGGCCTGCTTCCCCCACTTACCACTTGCCTGGCCCCTGTTTGTCACCTCTGATGTTTTCTCCCTACAAACCTTCCCTCTTGCTGTTCTCTTTAACCAGAACGCTTTTCCGTTCCTCCAATGTCACATTTTTTAAGGTTCTTTAACCCCCAAATGCAAAATTCTTTACTCTCTCCCGACAAATGCCTCTACTGTAGCAATTAACAAAGAGGTTTGTGTGCATGTCCTGAGCTGCCACCAGATTCAAGCTCCTGGAGGCCGGAGACTCTGCCCAGGGTAACTCTCGGATTTTCACCTAGGAGGAGCTTCGGGGCAGTAATCTGATTGGAAGGGACAACCACCGGGGGGCTTGTCCTGAAACCATGTGCGTACAGCAAGTGTGGACACGCTTCTCTTACTCAGATTCTGAGTTTGTTTGGGGTGGTGTTTGTTTGAGCAAACACGCTGTCTGGCACCACAGAGAACGCAAAACTGAATGTGACACGGTCAATGTCGGTGACATATCACGCTCTCGGGGTCTGGGTTTCATTGACTTGGAGGTTCTTGCTCTTCTGTAAGTGGTTTTCCTCTACAGGTTTAGTGCAGCTCACTTGAGAGAGTGCCGTTTGCA